TTCCCATATCTCTGAGCAGGACAAGGGGACCCAGGAATTTGCTCCACTCTTGTTTGGGTTTCCAAACCCACCTTACTGCCCCCTCAAAGGGTTGGGTTGGGGGAGACTGGTGCATTGGTGAGGCTGGCTCAGGAGGAGAGAAGGGAAGGAGAACATTCTCTCTGTGGCTAGATTCTCACCCCCCACCCCCTCCAGTTCACCAGAGTTCTTGCTCTTTCCTGACAAGCATGTTTTGACCCCAGACAGAGCTTCTGCCTCCTGGACTAGACCAACTCACCTTCCAGGGGCTTGGCTTCCCTCCAGCCCCTCGGACCACCACCCTCCATAACCTTGGCATCTCTTCTGATGCTAGCAGTTTCTTGTGGCCTCGGTCCCTGGTTCCTGGGTTGGTCCCCCGTCTTCCCACCACCATCTCTGGGTAGAAAGTCACCAGGAAGACCCAGGTTTAATTCTGTCATTTGCTAGCTGTGGGATCTCGGGAAAATCAGTGAAGATTCTTTCCCATCACCAGCCTCTGTTTCCTCTTCAAAGTGTGAGGATGACATCTACCCGCACAGAATTGTTTTAAAGGCCAAATACATTAGGTATTTGAGTGAGCTCTTTAATTTTTTTAAAAAAATGTCTTTGATGTTTATTTTTAAGAGAGAGAGAGAGAGAGAGAGCATGAGTCAGAGAGGAGCAGAGAGAGAAGGAGACACAGAATCCGAAGCAGGCTGCAGGCTCCAGGCTCTGAGTTGTCAGCACAGAGCCCGACATGGAACTTTAACTCACGGAACTGTGAGATCATGAGCTGAAGTTGGATGCTTAACCGACCGAGCTGCAGAGGTGCCCCGAGTGAGCTCTTTTAGACCCAAGTTGGCACTGTCATGCCCTCCACCATGAATTCCTGTGCTAGAAGGGAAGCACCTTGAGGACACAGACATATTTCTGAGCCCAGGGTCTGACACAAGTGTGCTCCACGGCCGTTGGCTATGGGACTACCAGCTAGGTCGGAGGATCAGAGGTGGACGAGGCAAGGAGCCTGGAGGTGTCCAAGGGGAGAACACAGAGAGGGAAACTGGAGAGAAGGGGCTGGGGAGGGGCTGAGGGCAATGGAAACCTTCCCATGAATACAGGACATGTGAAGTGATGGTAGAGAATTTGGAAAAGCAGAACGTGTACACGGTTTTCAAGATTCAGCTCTTAGAGATTATCCAGCCCAAATCCCTCTTCTATGGGAGGAAAATAAAGGTCCTGGTGGGGAAACACTTGCCCAGTAATCTGCAAGGAGTTAATGGCAGAGCCAAGATAAGAATCTAATGGAGTCAGACAGGCCTGAGTTTGATTCCTGGTTCGAAGCTGTACGATCCCGGGCAAGTTCCTCATTCCTTCTTTTTAAAAATTTATTTATTTGGGGTGCCTGGGTGGCTCAGTAGGTTAAGCGTCCGACTTCGGCTCAGGTCATGATCTTATGGCTCGTGGGTTCGAGCCCCGCATCGGGCTCTGTGCTGACAGCCAGCTCAGGGCCTGGAGCCTGCTCCGGATTCTGTGTCTCCCTCTCTCTCTGACCCTCCCCTGCTCACGCTGTCTCTCTCTCTCACACAAATAAATAAAAACATTTTTAAAATGATTTATTTATTTTGAAAGAGAGCGAGCACTCAGGCGTGCACAAGCAGGGGAGGGGCAGAGAGAGGGAGAGAGAGAATCCCAAGAAGTGTGGAGCCTGACACGGGGCTCGAATCCATGAATCCTGAGATCATGCCCTGAGCCAGAATCAAAAATCAGATGCTTAACTGACTGAACCACCCAGGTGCCCCCAGTGTCTCATTCTTCAGCCACAGGTTCCTCATTGATAAAAACAGGGATTGTAAGAATGAAACAAGATGGTGCACGTGAAGTCCTAGGCACTCGCACAGTCCAGGTATGGGGAGGAGGCTCTGTGAGTGTGGCTAGACTTTCCCTCCTTTTTTCCGTGCCCATCGTATTTGTCCTTGCCTGTGCTTGAGGCTACACGGCGACCAGTGTGCGCTAAAGCCATGAAGTTAGCTGTATGGGTGCTTAGACATTGTTAGTTACAGACCTGGGGGCTTTGGAAATGTAGGTAAGCCTGTATATTTTTATCAGCCACTCAATACTCAATTGAGAACAGGAAACAAATGTTGTCAGCCTCAAGAAGGAAGGAAAAACAGCAGTCAGGGAAATAAAAGATAGGATAGAAAAGCTGACGATTCAGAAATCTAGAACCTTGGCTCCAGTCCTCTAGTGAGGGGAGGGGGGTGGTGGTATAGGAAGAGAATGAATGGATCAGGGGCTTCTGTGATCCCTAGTGCTGCCACAAAGCTACTCTGAGGTCTTGGGCAGTTAGTTTATCCTCTGTCCGCGCATCGGCCCCTCCTAAGCAGGATGGAAGGGAAGAGAGAGCTGCCAGCCAGGAGGTCTGTGTCTGGACCTAGAATGCTCTCCTTTGCAGTCCTAGCCTGTGAGGCCAGGGAGATGCCTCCCCTTCTCCAGCTCCCAACCCTTGTGCCCCTTGGGGATTTCACACAACACAGAAGGTGCTCTCAGGGAGCTGGGGCTTTCTAGGTCCCCTTTGTTTGTAGTTCCTTTAAAACCCAGAGACAAACCACCCCCTAATTCATGTGCTGCTGGGAAGGGGAATCTGCCTTTTAAAAATCCAGAGGAAGCCATTTAACCAAGTGGGTAACCATTGTGACTCATAATAAGCTTTTCTCTGTAAAAAAATGAGTCAGAATGACTTTCCAGGAAGTTTGGTTACTTTAATTAGCTACCTCTTTTTTCTTGCCCTTAAAAACATACAGTAATTTGATGATCACCTAAGTATGGGTGCTACCAGCCACGGCGCTGAGTCCCTGGAAGTGAAGGATCGAGGGGCGAAGTTCCAGACAGCACAAACTTCTTGGTCTCCATGGAGTTGAGGAAGACCCACACAGAATCCTTTCCTGAATGTGAAATGAGAAAAACCAGCCTCCGGGGCTGGCCCACTGGGCCCGACTGAAAACAAGTAGGGCATCCCAGCTACCCGGAGCCCCCAAGTGCTTAGCAGTGATGTGCGTTCTGTAGACTACGGAATCACAAGATCCTGATGATGCCATCAGGGGTAATGATCCCAGTGGCCGTGTGTCAAGCACTGTGCTAAACCTCATCACAGTGAACTCTCAGCCCACTCTCTAAGATGGGCATGAATTCCGACCCCGACCCCCGGAAAGAAACAACGAGACTAAATTAATTTATCAGATCATACAACTGGCGAAGCAGCTGAGCCATGATCGTTGTCCAAGTCTGATTCTAAATCCATACCCTTCGAAGGTCATCTGTTCCTGCCTCCTAAGGAGGTAAAGTCACATGTGAAACTTGCAAGGACTCCTGGGAGGGCAATGAGATTCCCAAAGTCCCAGCTTACGTCCGGATTCTTTCTCCTTCAACTTGGTCCTCCCCGAGAGGAGGCCAGAAAGTGCTCAGGTCATGTCTAACGCCTTAGCCTTCCCAACCCCCACCAGGGATCTGAACTCCGTCTCTCTCCTCGCTTACCTTCTAGGGTTCCACGTCGTTCCTTCCCACTCCCAGCATTGTTACCCTGAGCTTGGTCACGTAAGTGGTAACAGTGCCAGCCTACTAAGTGTGGCCTTCTTCCCACACAGCCACTGGCTTAGCTGCGGCCCCACACAGGGGCAGCGTACCTGGCCCAGGTGAGCAGAATTGGCTCCAGGCGCACTGCTACCAGGAAAGGGCCGCCCAACTTCTCCTGACTGGTGGCTTCTGGAGGCTGATTCTTCTCCAGGGCAAAGCATCAGAGCCAAGACTGTGCCCTACCATTTTCCAGCTGAACTGACTTTAAAGCCTTGCCCGAGTTCTTCAGGTTGGAGGGAATTTTCTTCTCAACCGGGGAGAAAATGTGTCCCCTTCCACAGACCCTCAGTAAAACGTGCTTAGCAATTAAATCAATTGAAAATTGAGTGCAACCGGCTCATACTCTCCTCGCCCGGCTGTCCGTGCTCACAAAGCAAAATGCAAAACCTGTAACTCTAACGTGTAGTGCTACCTATGCAACAGGCACTGTTTCCGTTTGAAATAGGGCGGGAGAGAAGTTTACGGTAAACGTATCCTCCAGATGCCCCCGCCAAGACCCCCAATTATCTTGTCCTCGACCCAAGCAAACTTCTAGAATGGAACTAGACTCCACCTGAAGACTTGGGAAAAGAGTTTAGCTCTGGGGGACATTGATTTTCTTCCACTTCTAATTTCTACGTTTCTAATGATCCAGATGAAAGACTAATTGAGGTCTTGTTGGAAGGCTATTAAAGTTATTTGGTGGTGTTACAATTTATACTCATGTTTCTTTAAGTTCTTTTTAATTATATGGAGCTTTCAAAGCAAAGCTTGGATGGTGGAGTTAAAAGCAAAGTGCTATGAAACTTTCTTCTCAATTCTTTCCTGTCCTCTTTTCTCTTCTTCACAAAGCAAAGTCATCTCCAGGCCCCAACCCTTTCTTTCTGGGTCTATTTACCACCCACATGCATGTAATTTGGAAGAGGAACACTTGCACACGGCCTCTTTGGCTAATTCCTTGACGAGGCCTATTGAGAAATCTGGGGTTAAAAGGCCTAATCCCCATCTACTGAAGACAGATCATGCTTTCTATCGGTCGGCAGCAGCTAGGAACACAGCCTGGCGGTGCTTCTAAGGGTGTTGGAATGGCATATCAAGAAGTCAGTCTCTTCCCTAACTTTTCTGTTTCCGTTTTGGTTTTTGAGGATCCGGCCCTTTCCTAGACTAGTGCCAGAAGTTTTGTTCCTCCGCTAGACCAACATCTAGTGTTCGCAGGCTCCAGGGTCATATCCCGCGTCTCTAGGGAATTCATTCATTTCCTAAGACCCAGCTTTGGGGTCTGATTGGCTGAAAGACGGAGTGAGAAAAAAATGCCGCACTACTCCACGATTTTCAACAACTCTCTCCGGCCCGTGCTTTCTTGTTTCTCGTTCCCCAGAAGAGAAGACCCTTACCTGTCTCCACCTGGCTGAGGGCACTTCGAGCATCCGTGGAATCCGCTACATCCCCACTCATCTTGATATCTGCAGGGAAAACACAACTGATTTTAATAACAGGTCACAATTTTTCTTGCTATGACACATGTGGCTTTAGCTAAACAGCAAAGATGAATGTGTAATTACAACAACCATCAGACTTTCAAATTCCTGATTCCCGAACATACAACCATTAGAATATTCATGAGCTCAGGGCACAAATCCCCTCCTCCCAGGCTTGCCTCCTTTCCCTGGCCTTTCTTCCCCTTCCCCACAGCTACTGTGGGATCTCTCACCTTTTGCATCCTTCATGGCCACTTCCTTCAATCACCGGGCTCAGTTGGTAAAAATTTAACAAGGGGAGGGGTACAGCGAGGTGGGGGGTGGGGGAGAAGGCTTCCCATGTTCAATCCTCATTTCCTTTGGGATTTGGAGGATTTATTTTATTTTTTTTTTAAGTAGCATAAGAAATATCTGTCTCTCCCACACCCCCGCCCTGTAATAACCCTACCCTGGGGAGTAAGAGTACCCTTGAACCAAGGCTCGCCCTTCTCACCTTTCTTGCCCAATTCTTGCCCCTGTTCCCTGGCTCTCAGAGGTCTGCCCACTGTCTGAGGATGAAATCCTAGCCCCTGTGTGGCCCCTCTGGAGATCCTCTCCTCTGGGGATCCTTACCTTCTTTCTACTCCTTCAATGTGCTCAGTGAGAAAGGGATGGTGGGCGGGTCAGTGCCCCGCAGAGAGAGAATACCTACACAGGCCTGATCTCAGCACCCTAGTGCTGCCGGTCCAGCCTCTCGGCCCTGCTTCATTTCAATAAATTAAACATTTACCCTTAACAGACAGCTGCCACCACCTAAGAGGCCCCTAAGTCTCTCTCCTCCAGGATCAGCAGAGAGAAGCAAAGAGGCAACTTTGAACTAACTCACTCTCTCAGCTCCTCTCCTTATTAAGCCACCCAAATACTGAAGCCGTTAAAGACAGAAGAATATTTTATTCAAATCGTGTTGACCCCCCCCCCCACACACACAACCCCCTCTTCTCTGGGGCAGCACTTTAACTCTTTCAAACCAGATAAAGTCTTGGTGAGGCAATTTGCATACCCGGCTCCCCAGCCAATCCCAGTTAAGCAGGCAGCCTTAATTTGCATCAGGTAATCAGGCAGTTGGCGGTCGGGACGCCCGAGGTCTGGAGATGATCATGATGAGGAAAAAGGGTGGACCTCCGCCCCAGGAAAAGCGGGAAGAAACCTCCTTTTTTGGAGGGGGGTGGGGGAATCATGTGTGTGGCTCTGGCAGAGATTTAAATTGTGGCCCCTGGGGGTTGTAGTGACTATGGTGCAGGAGGGGTGACTGCCACGCCAAGCGAGACAGACGCGGGGGTTCAGAGGCTCTCCAACCCTTAGAACAACCCAGAAGCAGAGGCCGGAATTAGCAACGTTAGAGCCACCGTGATTTGCGGAATATTGTGAGACCCGCCAAGGTGACGACTCCCAGGTAAATAGTGGGAGCTCCACGCAGCCCTCTCCAGACATCCACGCTGTCCTGCGCAATCACAGACCTGGAGGGGAGACCCTGCATCCCCATCCACTGCGCTACACTTAAGAAGGCATTTCTTGAGCCTAACCTAAGTCCTTCCTGCTGCGATTTGAAACTTTCTGTACAGTCTGTCCTGCATGAATATGCAGAATAACTAGTGTGGGTCACCTGCACACATGTGCAAAGGGCTTCAGCCGTGGCTCACCTTGCACTCCAATAAAGAAATGGGCTTTGCTTCATTCCACCCCTGGAGCTGGGTGTTGCTGAGCACAGATCTGCTCAGCTCACACTTGCCCCCACAGGGATGCTTCAGCGGTTCCGCCGGTGCCCAGGAAAAAGTCTGAGACTTCCCAGAAAGTAGGGGAAGGGTAAATCCTCCCCCTCAGGTGGTTTTTTAACCTGTTTCAGTAGCCCCCCGGAATTCAGGGCGTTGGTTTTGGTGGCAGACGGACCTGGATTAAAATCCCAGTGTCATAGCTAGCTAGCAGGGAGACCCTGGCTACATATTTGAACCTCCGCTTTCTCAATTAAAAAAAAAAAGGGGGGAGAATACTGTTACTTCCCAGAGTTCTTTTAAGGAGCAAACAAAATACTGAATGAAAACTGCCTGGCACAGTTCCTGGTGCAAAGTAAGCACGGGATAAACGAATGAATGAAACAGATACTTCAGCTTCTAGGTTAGTCCCCTTCTTCCATAACAAAAAACAGCTTTGGTTTTCTGTCTCAGCGGTATTGTAATTTGTCCTTTACCTGGAAAGCCTTAGGCGTTCTCCAAATTCTGACTTCACAGGGAAAGAGCTCACTGGACGGTAAGAGTTTAAGAGGCAGTAAGGCTGGGATGATGACCAGATTCTCAAATCAACCTATCTCAAATTCCTGACATTTAAGCAGGCTAACTGTTTCGCTCAACCACCATTTCATGCCCATAACCCAGAGTCCCTTCTGACATCCTTTCCCTGCATCGCCTTTAAATACAGCCAAAAGTCATCTCACATATCCTTTAAATTAGCTTGAAAGGTAGCCCTAATCATGTCTAAAGATGACTTTATTTTTTAATTTTTTTTAATGTTTTATTTATTTCTAGGAGAGAGAGAGACAGCGTGAGCAGGGGAGGGTCAGAGAGAGAGGGAGTCACAGACCGAAACAGGCTCCAGGCTCTGAGCTGGCAGTCAGCACAGAGCCCGACGCGGGGCTCGAACCCACGAACCGCGAGATCATGACCTAAGCGAAAGTCGGACGCTTAACCGACTAAGCCACCCAGGCGCCCCTAAAGATGACTTTTGAAGGAGGCAAAGGGCCATACTCTGCCAGGACATCTTCTCATTTGATGTGCCCACATGGGAGCGACATGGGGATTGGACAGGGATTGGAACCTGAATGGAAGGGCAGGCTGAGATGATCTATAGAAGCTCTTCAGAAGTCCCACAAGATGCTAAAATACTGAGAACCAGTTCTTGTGGGTAGGAGGCTGATGGGTGGGACGGGCTCTTGGGTCTCAGCCTAAAAATGGGTCAACACCGAAACTCCCCAAGCCGCCAGAGCCATTTGCCTGTCCGACAGCACTTGCCGGGGGTGAGTGAGAGAGCTGTGGGGTGGGGCTAGTCTCCTCGGCTGTTCTTATCTCAGCAGGCAGGCGACTGAGTAGGCTCCTTGCCATCACTCCCTTCCCTGGGGAGGCTCAGTAGCTCTGTACACAGATCTCAGATACCATACACAGACCCTCATCAGCCTCACGGGCACCACCGCACCCTGAAGCTGCAGCAAGACTTTGCCTCCTGACCTTGCCCTCCCTCCCTGTGCCTCGGCATGACCCTCTTCATACATCCGTGAACCAGGATGTGCCTGTGAGCCTGGAGGAGCAAAGTCCAAGGCACAGCATTTTTCCCAGGCTATGGGCTGAGTGTCCACAGCGTACTGAACTCCGGGTTCCAGGCTATGCCAGGAAGGCAGAGAGCCCATCCTTCTCTCTCCTACTGTCTGTCTCCATCTCGTTGAAGGGACTGGAGCTCCCTCCTGACTTCTTCCTCACACACTCGCTGACGGGGGCACGTCTACCAGAAGGGAAGGGGCCCACCAGTCCTATTTCTGAACCAGTCATGGCTCCGACTCTTCCCTGGAGTAGACTTCTCTCACTTCTTCAAGACACAGCCACTTCCTCTCACAATGAGATGTTCCCATCCAAATGGTATTCCTGACCTGTACCTGGTATCGGTGTGTGAGACTTGATCCAGAACCTGAAAGGGAGCAGCTCACAGTAGGGAGACAGAAAAAGAGATGTCCTAGGGCCAACCTGGCGTCCCCCTCCATTCCCACTGTTTTCCTCACTTTCTTCTCTCTGAGCCCAGCTGCCTGGTTGACTCTTATCTACCCCTCTGCCTGTTTTTGACCCAGGAGTGGGAAGCCCCTCCTTGGCTGGGGTGTCCCCATGTCTGGTGACCTCATGCCTGCTCAAGGGTTCATATTCCTGGAGAGAGATGCTCTATAAAGTGCAAAGAGCTGAGACCCAGGCCGACCAGAATCATGGCTTGCACGTGGGTCATCAGAGTGGCAAGCTGGGCTCACCCGGGGGCCACGTTGCTCTTGGACCTGAACGTGGGACTGGGCGCAAGCCTGTGCCCTACTTTTTGTGCTCTCGTTCTCCCTCCTTCCCCCACCTAAATGGCTCCAGTAAATCAACTGAGGAAGAGTCTCTGAGGGCCCAGGACTGGAAATTCTCAGGGGAAGTGCCGTTTGCAAAGAATCAGCAGGACACAGAATTGCTGTGAGGAAATAGACTAAAACTCAGAAGAGACCAAATTTCCACCCAGAGGATCCTGAACCGAGGGACCCTAGAGAGGGACCCTCCCTCACAGACCCCGCGGCAGAGCCCACACTGAAAGACCCCACAAGGATGACCTCAGACTACAAAGCCCAAGAAGACCCAGCAAGGAAAGCCCTCGAATGGAGACCCAGTCAGACAGATCGATAGAAAGTCCTAAGCTGAGGGGCGCCTGTGTGGCTTAGTCAGTTGAGCGTCCGACTTTCGCTTAGGTCATGATCTCGCGGTTCGTGGATTCGAGCCCCGCGTCGGGCTCTGTGCTGACTGCCAGCTCAGAGCCTGGAGCCTGTTTCAGAGTCTGTGACTCCCTCTCTCTCTGACCCTCCCCTGCTCACGCTGTCTCTTCTCTCTCCTAGAAATAAATAAAACATTAAAAAAAAAAATAGACCTCCAGATTCTCAAGCAACAGAGAGATCTAAACTGACATCTAGATTACATTAGCATCCACATTATTCCTTTCCTGTGGGCATCTTATTTTNCCTGGAGCCTGTTTCAGAGTCTGTGACTCCCTCTCTCTCTGACCCTCCCCTGCTCACGCTGTCTCTCTCTCAAAAAGAAAAAAAAAAAAAAAGAGTCTCTCATGGTTTGATTCCCTCTCTCTCTCTTTAAAAAAAAAAAAAAAGAAAGTCCTAAGCTGAGAGGTCCCTTTGAGGTGCCACTAAAAGGTAACCAGACACCACTGAGTGGCCAAGACTGAGAAAGCTCAGTGGACAGTGCAGACAGACTAAAGAAGTGGGCTGGAGAGGGGTAGTCAGTGTAGACAGGTGAATCAAGTAACCCACCCAAGGTAGATGGGGACCCCACATTGGGTTTAGCTCAATCTCCCCTTTTGTGTTTGGGACCCCTGCCTCCCCAGGAGGTGGGTGAAGGAAGGGTCAGCTTCCGCCAAAGCCAAGGTGTTGTGGGGCTTGGCCCTCTCCCAGTCAGCCACACGCTCTCCTCTCTCTGCCAGATCCT